TTTTCCTCACCTTGGGGTTAAAGGGGGGAGGAGGGGGTGGGAAGAGGAGACGTTTAGGGAAGAGGCTTTGTTCATAACTAACCAAGCATAACACTGGATCAAAGACAACTTTGCCATATTCCATGTCTTAAACAGCTCAAAGATCCCCTTGCTCGCGGTGGTTACTGGGACACGTAGTTCTTCGCTTGGCATCTCCTTCTTGTTCACTTTGGCGACATTAGACAAAATTTCTCGAGCTTTCTCTTTTTTTCCCTTAACAAGAAGCCACCTCACTGATTCGGGAATGAACCTTTGAGGTAAGAGAAGTACGTTTGGTGATTGAGACAGCAATTTTAAGTCGAGTATCGAATGTAGAATTACACGTAAGTGTGAAAATCTTAATTGGCCATTTAAAGAGTTGAACTTTTTACCGAGAACAATTCCAACAAGTGCAAGAGGGAGGATTTAAAGCAGGGACCATCAGATTACAAGCTTTGCTTCTTAAACCAATCAGACGCCACACCAAACCCACCCGCGGGTTTCTCAAAGGGTCTCAATGAGGTTAACCGTCAGCCATAAAACGGCTAAAAAATTAGCTGTTAGGCGTAGAAATTGAAAATTTCTAACCGTTAGTCGTAAAAATTTTATTATAACAATTTTTCTTTTAATCACAAAGGAAAGAGGTTGATATTCTATCAAGAAAACACCGTAGACCTGATGGGTCTGTTTATTCTCATTACCCACTGACTGGATATTGAATTGATACTGTGAAGAGACGTTATATATTGATCACTTCTAAATTTTAAGCGACAAATATTTTTAACTTACTTCCAGAATACGAGGATGAAAATCCACGGTGCTGATGATACAATGAGTAGTGTTCTCCATTTACGAATAAAAAAGGCCTTCAGTCCCAAAATCATTAGGGCTGCGGTGAAGTAGAACCAAACAAGGGTCCCAGCTAGCGCTCTCCTCTCAGGCCCAACCAGTTCGGTGGCCAATACGAACATTGACAGAAAACAACCAGCCTCGAAAAACCCGATAATTACTCGGCAAACAGCAATGATCCAGAACGCCTTAGCAAACGCCATAGCAAACGTCACCAGCAGCACTATTAACACGGAAGGGAACAGGACACTTTTTCGGCCATATCGGTCGGCGATGAAACCCAATACGATGGCACCGACTGCCCAGCCAATGAACAGCATGGAATTTGCGAGCCACCCCAGCATCCCACGGCTACACACCAAGTCAAACTAAAAAAACAAACAAACAAACAAAAAAACAGCGGTTTGATGAACGTTGTTAGATTTTAGGAATAATCTACCATATACGGTTCACGTTATTGTATGTTAATCAGTCGTATGCAGATCCTATCGTGTGGCGTTACTTACAGCCGCTTGGCCGTGAAAGGTCTAGGTACGAAACTAATTGCATGTTTAACATGCCATTACGGGTGCACGCTCGTGCAATGCAGGCCGTTTAGGGGTCGGTCGGCAGATATGTGCATCTAGTCTTCTTCCACAACTATCTCTAGTGTGTGTAAAGAAAAAGCGTGTTTGAGGGAAATTAGTTCAGTTTGGCAACAAGTACTAAGCATTTTATTCCTCGCAGAGTCCAAGTCTTCGTATATCGTAGGCGGGTGGGGAACATCAGAGAATCACCGCGTCGCTTAGATTAAAGTTTAGATCGTGGGATCCAAACAACGACAGTCGATTCTTGGAACCAAAAATGTCCACGGAGAAGTATCCGAGAATGATTTGTACCAAGTCGAGAATACTGTATATATATGCACTACATGACGCCGTCTCGGACTGTAATCCCTTAGAGCGTGTATTAGAAGAACACGCTTCCAGCAGGCAAAGGTCCAGTAGCTGTATGCTTGTGTAAGGTTTCACTAAATAATTGCTGCTTAATATATACAATATATATAAGACAATTTTCAATGACCCCGAAATAAAAAAAGTGTCGTGACATATTTCCTTACGAAATCATTTGTTATCTATAACGTAACATATCTCCGTCAGGGGGGAGTATTCCATGACCAGGCTTCAACAGGGTGGTGCCCCAGAGGTGCGATGGGATTTATGGATCTTGGATCTAAGATATGGCTTTGAAACAAGTTTACAATTTATCGTCAGGAGTAGGGTGCCTTTTCAGATCAGAAGCCTTGAATGAGGTGTGAATGTTGGTGGCGTTGCGAAGTACTGCTAAATATTTCAGTTAATTCTAGATATTCCTCCCAGATATTTTAGAGGTGGCTAAGAGGCTGATAAGGTGCAATCCAGAACGGATTTTCGTCTCCAGCGGGGTAGTGAAATGAAAAGACTTTGTCTGAAACTGGGTGTAAGGCCGCGGTGACATACGATTACAAGTCTTCTTACTTTCCCTCCCGAATTCTGCTTACAGCATCAATTTCATTGTAACAACAAATCTTGTTTTTACCTCGGTTACAATAGTCTCATGTGGTCCTTCATAGAGATCGTACTCAGCAAACTTCCAGTCGCTTCTCTTCAAAGAACATCTTCTTTCATAAAGCTGTTTGGGTTTGGTAGATGTGCTGTAAACAGCACTCTCTACTGAAGAGCTGTTAGGCGATGAGTTATTTGATTCCAAACATGTCACGCTGTGCTTAGCACACATCCAAGGAGGCTCGTACGCCACAAACACCATGATCAGCGTTTGATATGTGATGGGGAAGAAGATGAACGTGAACAGAGCTAAGATGCGAATCTGATAAGGACCGAATTGGCCGATGCGTCTCAAAACCGAATCAACATCCAAGCCGGCCATGTTCGAAGGAAGGAAGAGAAGTTAGAGCCGGGCCGGGCGGGGAGGGGTAACCTTTGTGCCGGTTTGCTTTGTGAACGGATCAGATTTGCGATAGTCTGGTAATATTAGAAGAGCTGGGTCAAACTACGTTAAGTACTTTTCGACGATGAGCAGATTTCGCGTCAGTATGAGCGAATCCACGAAATAGAAGCTTTGTATGAAGAAATAACTCCACTGAATGGAAAAAAATGTATGAAAAAATAAACAAGAACAATTTAGAATGGAGAGGATCGACACGGATTGAAAATGACTAACCAATAAAAAATTTAAACTTAAATTTTGAGTCACTCTCTTGACCCTTTTACTTCCGTAACTGACTAAGACAGATTTTTTCCTCATAATATCAACACAATATTTACAATATCAAGCAGACTAGTGATGAGGAAAAAAGAAAAACATCAAGTAGGGGATTATTAGTTGATCCAATACCGAATTCTTCGAATTTAAATCAGAGAATAACTAATGAGATCTTGGGACTGAAAGGGTTAACTTACCCATCTTTAAGAGATCATAGATAAAAATACAATTGCTGAGGAAAGCAAAATATTTTGCTTAAAGAAACGCTTTGTTTTGAAAGGAGCTTAGGTTGTTTTTCCTTCAAAACGACCCCGGGCTATTTCTAGCGATAAAGAAACATGATCCTTACGATGGACATAAAAAATTAAAACATAGATTAACATCGACGGTTTTAATGACAAGTGCGTGGCGAACAAAGAATTCTTTGAGCCTCAGTCACCAATTGACGGGTGTCAGAGCCCAAGCAACGGGCTTGAGTTCTGCACATGTCATATGAAAAAGGTTTTTAGGGGCACAATTCGCAGTTATTTGAATGGATGTTTCAAATTTTTAGTACATTTTGTCCCCTTTCGCGGCGACTAACAGGTTTTGGTTGCGTGACAATCCAGGCGCCGCATGCCATCGGCACCAATCATTTCTTTTTTTTTTTTTGCCTGTTTTTGTGGGCAGGGGGAGGGCGTTTTTGGAGTATTTTGGTGGATGACATGGTTTTCAGCGGGGATGGAGTGGGGAACAGTTGTCGCAAACAGAGAATAGAGACTCAATTCAATTCAATTTTATTTAAACATCAATATAAAGAATAAAGTACAATAAGAAAACGGAAAAAGAAACCAAAATAATTTACAATTCATTATTATCAAGGATATCTAAGAAATGAAGATGAACAGGAAGAAAAGAATATTTAAATACTATGTTAACTGTGTGGAGTTTGTGACACCCAAATAGCTCTAGGAACTAATCGAGTGGGCGTCCCAAAGCAAATAATTCAAACAAAAGAAATACAGTGCTAATAACAATTTAAATAAAAATTATTACTTTTCATACTAACTAATAAGAATTAAAATGTATCTACACAAACCATTTAAGAATTAATAACACTATATACAACTGGTAATTTAGTGTTAACAACTGAGTTGAAAACGTAAATTGGCCACCGTAAAGTGTAAAAAAGCTGACGTTTCGAGCGTTAGCTCTTCGTCAGAGCGATTGAATATTTATATTTTGAATCAGAATTGAATCTTTATATTTTTGACAATAGAAGATTGACTAAAAATAAATTGCTAATGAGGGGACAGGAGCCCATTATCCGGAACTTCCATCTTCCATACTTACCCTCTGAGTCAACCCTGTCTCCTCTGAGTCAACCCTGTCCCTGAGCACCTCCCATGGGGTTTTTCGCGGGTCTTTACTTAATAGCCAATCACAAGAGAGCTCAAGCCTCTATTGTTTACGTCACATGAAAGTGACGTATTTCAATAAAGGCGAAAAGCGCGGAAAATTTACCATTTTTTTTAGGGTGTTATGCGAACGTCAGCGTGTTTTCGCGGGAAATTTAAGAACCCCCCCTTACGTATTACAGTTCTAAAAATAAAAAGATACGGGACAGGGTTGACTCAAAGGTACAATTGGTATGGAGGCTCCGGGTAATGGGCTCCTGGAGGGATCATTGGAATATTAAAGAACCTTATGAGGGTATCAATAGGTTTTATCTTGACACAATCAAATCATCCGACCTCCCCTCCTCTCCCCCTCCGTAGACCCTCCGGCGAAAGATAATTAATGACGGGTCCCTTGTGTAATATCCCAACAAACGACCGCGAAGGAGAGCATGTGACCTGTTTCCAATAAGACCCATTCGCTGTGCAAAATCGATCTTTGCCGATGAAGGCGAGGGCCGCGAGGCTACTTAGCGTGGATAGAGGCACGTGACAGAAATGACAGAGATGGCGTAGTCTT